ATTGTTCAAAGCAAACATTTCCCCATTCTATTTTTCCATATGTTCGCCTATCAATCTATTAAACCTATCAAAACTGCATGTGCCCCTAGCTATAAATAGGGTGGGGCAGAAACCCGGAAGGATTCTTCTCACTGGGGCCACTGTGAATCCAAATGACAGGTACGGAGACAGCCAAGGGGCAAGTCAAAGAAAATACGGGGGCCCAAGAAGGACAGAGGAAGGGAAGAGGGAGGGGCTATGTGCGCACGGGTCTGAGCGAAGAGCAGGTCTTCCACGGGGCAGACAGAGCACCTCCTTGCTGTGCCAGGTGTCCTCTGAGGCTGGAGTGTCTCCTCCTCAGGACACAGAACGGCCTTCCCCACCCCAACCACCCAAGCAAGACTGACTGAAGTTATTCACTGGTGACACTCCTAAGATGTCATTCCAAGCTTGGCCTTAGGTGGTTTGTCTGCTGAGGCAGAAAATACAAGAACAAAAGCTTTGTGGGAGAGAAACATGGGCCAGAATTCCCCCTCGCTTCTGTTTACCATCTGTTTTGACCTACTTACAAACAAGGCTCTTCCTTGAATGTTAACTACCTAGTCCATATAAGCCAAGGTAGAAGTAGAAAGTTGTCCTTTTGTTCAGCTGCAACTTTCTAGTTTTTGGTGAAAAAATGAACGCTGCTCCTGGGCACTGACTTCGCCTTCCTGTTCTTTTAGGTCTTGTTTTCACAGAGCACCTGCAGGCACATTCTTTTAATTTTTCTTAAATTCCCAATACTGGCTGTGAAATGAAGCCTGGACTCATGAGGCCCACAACGTGGACCTTTTACTAGAAAGTTTAATGTCACCATAGTGAGAGACAACCCTGTGAGGACGTCTTTGAACACCTGGACATCAATTCTGCTCTGTCCAGGGACAAACGTTGCCTGAGGAGAGCTGTGCGTAATTTGAGTTGTGTCTCATAAATCTCCCCACAAGTAATATGGTGAGACAGCTGGAGGACGTCAAGGAGGGAGGGAGGACTGTGAGGAGGGAGGGGTCACTGCTGTCTGTGGAGCCCATGAGTTTTGTTCAGGGGTGGAACTGGGATGAGACTGGAGTTGGGATGGGGGGATGGGCCTTCATGAGGTGACAGGTCTCTGTGAAATCTCTCACTGCTTCCCAGGGTCCCAGAACCTCTGCCTGGCTGCAGTGCCCCCTGCCCTGGGACAATAACATACCCATCTAGTTTCTGACCATGACTGTCCAGAGGCGCAGAAGAAAGACAGACCTGCATCTCAGGCAGGTGCTGTGCTCAGTGAGGACCAACCACCAAGGGACTGACAGGTTGGCAGAGGACGTGAGGCTGTTGGGGCTTGTAGGGCTCTGTGACTGACTTCTTGTCTCTCTCAGTTGTGTCTTGCAGCATTGTTATGTAGTACTGGGGAATTCACTTTAATGCTGTGTTCATCTCACAGCTCCATACCTCAGGTTTATCACTTGGTTTTTTTTTTTTTTGCATGTTGCTCTAAGGAGACATGAGGTGTTGACATCTGGAAAATGCATTTTGGTAAGACAACAGCTGGACCTGTCACTGATGGCGTGGCCAGCTCTTACAAGTGACTTCCAGCTATAGGAGGAGATCCAGAAGAAAAGGAGGTGGATTGACCTGGCGTCTACCAGGCTTCTGAGGCTTGCAGAGGCTGGCTGAGAGGTTCAGCTGATCAATACCAAGTGACTAACACACAGCAAGAAGCTGTGGGGTTGAGAAGTCCGAGAGTGGACGGCCAGCTATAGACCTGCAGAAGCTCAAGGTCAGAAAGGCATATGGAATGTAACACAGACTGCAGGGCCTGTCAGGATAAAGACAGGTTCCCAAACCAAGATATTAAAAACAAAGTACAAGGGCAAAGGAGAGCGGGCAGAGACAGAAGACAGCCTGTAGAATAAAAGCTGCTGGTGACAAACCCACCACCAGACACACAGGCCCCTCAACTGGATCTCAGCCCAGGAGAATGCTGGAAAGAAGTTGGGAGTCTTTGGGGAGACCTGAGGTGTGACTTAGTATCTAACAACAGTGCAGAATTCCTGCTTGTCAACGTCTGGTCACAGACTGAGGTTGCATCTCATGCCTGTATCTTTCAGTGTATCTTTTTCTGGCATGTGTGTATGTGATATACATGAATGTGTGTATATGTATTTGCATGTGTGTGCATGCATGTGTGAGGAGGCTGGACTTTGATGGTAGGTGTCTTTCTCAATTATATATCTAGGGTCTCTCACTGAGCCCAGAGCTCCCTGTTTTGGCTGGTCCATCTGGTCCACTTCCTTTGGGGAATACCCTGTCTGGACCTCATGAGTGCTAGGATTACAGGTGGGTCCCTATGCCCACCTGGCATTATGAGGGTGCTGTGGACCAGAGCTCCAGTCTTCATGTTTGTCCAGCAAGTGCTTTACCAGCTGAGCCATCTCCCCAGGTTCCCAGCATGGATCTTCCAGAAATGGATGTGGAACCACTACAGCTGTGATCTGGCAATGGGGTTCCTCTCCACCTAATCTGGAAGGGAAAGGGTGAGGTGTGGGGGCAACAAACTGTCATGAAGTCACAGTTTTTGATGTGGGTTACAGAGCATAGATGATGTTCTGCTCTGTCTTTGTACGTGATTAACATTTTCCATCACCAGAAGTACCAAACGAGGACAACCGAAAGACAAAAGTACGTATAGCCTTGAGGGCGAGGGTGGTAGGCTGCTGCTGAGCAGGTGAGGGTGAGAAGCGGAGCAGAGGGCAGGACTGGACACAGGGTGAGGTGTCACGGTGGTAGCATTGTCCTATAGCATTCAGGGAACACAGCACTAGAGAGTTCCCAAACACAAAAGGCAGGAACATAACTTGCTCCTCTCTAACAGTGACAGAACCAGAATGAGCCCTGATTCTACTCACCGTGTTCCTTTAGATAAGTAGAGAGAACACTTTACATCTGGATATCATTAAGATTTTCCAACTACAAGCAAAATTTAAGCCTCTTCCACTGCTATAAAAACAAGACTTTATCCGTCTACCAATTTGTCTCTTTGACTAAAGCTGTCTATACAAGCAATTTAGTTAGCATCTCCTTTCAAAACAGAATCAGTGAGCCTTGGACGATGTACCAGGAGGGATCAGTGCTGCAGAAAGCCTCTCTACCTGATGCCCAAAAAGATTCACAGTTGTTCATCAGTTCAATTAATTGGCAGCCTGATGACTCAGTGGGTGTTTAGCGCCATTACTTGGTATTCTGGCAGGGTTTCTCTAAGCCAGTGCACGGCCAGGGCGAGTGCCTCTCTGACAGTACAGGCATGTGTGCATTGGAGACACACTATATGTCCTTAAAGAAACTGCTAGCATTTCAGGCTATGCTAATGGTGCTACTGGCTGGCAGAGCCTGCAGAGGCCTCCTTAGAGGTGGCAGTGTCTCCTGAGGCTGAGGCTTTCCTGACATTCTTGGTGACTGAGAAAGAGAGGGGACATACGTAGATCTTCCTGTCATCATTGCATGGCTTCAGGATGCCATTGTACATGAGAGAACGAGTTCCAAAGAGTGGCAGGCCTGTGCCAGTGGGCACAACATCTATGTTGCCAGGCTATTTGTATTGCTGTGTTAAGTCCTCAGCACTGAGGGACGGCATGTCATGTTAGAGTGATGCTTCAAAATAGGAGTTGGGTGGGCCAACATCACCTGTGATTATTTTCTCTCAGCCCCATTTGGCTCAATTCACAGTAGCCAACTGGGAGAATCACCATGCTGATGGACAGGGATGCCCACCAGCTGGGGAGTGGCTAAAGGAAGCAGTTCAAGGACAGGAGGGGGCAATTTTCAGCCCCAGGAGGGAGGAAGTCCTGCCATTTATAGCAACGGGGACAAATCTGGAGGACATTACGCTCAGTGAAATAAACTAGGTTAAAAAAGACAAACCTATATAGTATCCTCCATGTGGAAGCCCAAGAGCTTGAAGCAGAGAGTAGAGGGTGGTTACCAGGGGCCTGGGGTGAGAATTAGAGAGGTATTGGTCAAAGGATGAAAGATTTCAGTCACAGGTATAGTAAGTTCAAGGAATCTATTATGGAGCTGGAGAGATGGCTCAGTGGTTAAGAGCACTGGCTGCTCTTACAGAAAACCCTGGTTCAGTTCCCAGTATCCACATGGTAGCTAACAACAGTCTATAATTCAAATTCCAGGGGATCCAACATCCTCGTCTGACCTCTGGGGGCTCTGCATGCACATGGTGCACTTACATACAAAATATGGACAAAATGCTCATACATATAAAATAAACCTATTGTATAGCATTGTGACTACAGTTAGCCATGTACTGTACACTTAAGAATTACAGTAGGATCAGCAGGAGTGGGAGGGGTACAAGAGGGGTAAAGTGAGGTGAATACGATCAAAATACATTAGAGTATGAAAATGTCATAATAAACCCATTATGAAATACAATTCTATGCTAATAAAAATTAGGTTAAGCCAGGCACGGTAGAACACACTTGTAATCCTGGCTCCAGGGAAGGCAAGAGGGTTGCTGTGGTTTACATACTGAGTTCCAGGCTAGCCTGTATTAGAATGGAAGAGTCTATCTAAATAAATGACAACAAAATTATAGCAGGGTAACTATGGGTTACAAGAGTCTGTAATTTAAGATAACTAGAAAAGAAGAGCTGGAAAGTTCCTGTAAAAATGACTGGCATTGAGGTCCCTGAAGACCTATCACCCTGATCTGATCATAGTACCTGGTGCTCATGTATAAGCAATGACACTGCACAAACAAAGATGTAAAAGCATCGTGTAAGAAATTCTCAAGAGAGTTGACTTGGTGGGCTCTAAGCACAAACACAGTTGTACGAAGCAAGGTGTGTTAGCTTGATTTGGATACCCTAAAAGGCACAGAGCCTCAAACGACATTACACAACACATATTTATACAATTCTTTTTGTCAATTACAAATGATAGCAAAGGACAAAACCTTCTGGACAAGAGTGCCATCTCCTGGGCCTTACCTGGAGGTAGTGGCATGGCCGCAGGGAAGGCTTGATCTCTGGGTGGACCAGGGGCTTGTCCAAGTTCAGGGAGCTCTTGCGGTAGGCCTCCTTGGCCTGGCTCACTGTGAGCGTGGACCAGGAGCTGCGCTTCATGTACTTGGCATCCGGTGTCAGGGACAAGCCCTCACAGGCTGAGCACTTGACATCGTTGTTGCTTTTGGAAGTCTTCAGTGAGAGGTCCCCAAAGGGGCTCTGCAGAGCCTCCGGGTAGCAGTGAGAGATGTGGTCCACATGGTGCCGATTGACCACACTGGGTGTCCTGTAGGTGCTGTCACTGTCCAGGTTGTCATCAGAGCTCCACCAGCTGCTCATGCCAGACTTGTGCTTGCTCTCTGGCTTCCGCTCTTTGCTTTTACTCCGTTTGCTGTGTTTAGAGTGGTGGCTGTGGTGGTGGTCATCCACCCGATTGTCACCCTTGGTTCCATTGACGTTGCTCTTGGAGGAGCCTTCCAAAGAGTGCGACTTGGTGAAGAGCTTCTGCACTGAGTGAACCAGGTGCCGGATTCGGCCTGGACTCTCACTCCGCTGCTCTGCAGCGGCCGAGGCCCTCTGGTACTGCAGTGTGTGGAAACCATCCCGGTGCAGGGGTAGTTGTTTTTCAAACTGGTCCAAGAGGTTGGCGGGGATGCGGTTTACTTTCGTACTCGTGTGGGACATGGCACAGTCATCCCTTGTGTCGTAGTGCGAACTATAATGCATCCTGGGGAAGGTGCTGCTGGACACATGGTCACCCAGCATCACGGGCATCATCATGCACTCGGAGTGGACAGAGCTCCTGGGCGAGCAGCGATGGTGGTCCATCGGGCAGCTCTCGGCTGGGCTGAGCAGGTAGGGCTGCCGCACGTCTGCCCCATGGTGCATGTGGTCATGGGGGTGCTCGCAGTCATCAGGGGGCGACAAGCCGCAGGTGTGACCCGCACATATCTGAGGCTGGTTCCGGCTTCCGGCTAACCCTTTCATGTTCCTGGGCGCAGGTGAATACCTTTCCTCATTGAAGTGCTGCGTTGGAGACCATGAATACTGTTGGTCTGTTGACAAAACAGAAATGATGTTTAGTACCTGGTGGAACACTGGGAGCAGCAGGTGAGGACAGGGACATGGAGGTCATCTGTGCACTCGCCAGCACCTGGCTTGAGTGGACAGTTACCTGTGGGGTTATGCAGACTGCTGTGAAGTGTGGGAAAGCTGAGAAGAGGAAACTGATTTTCCCAAATGAAGGTCTACAAGGATAGACATCTAATGTCTGACAGATGCACTTGGCCTCTCCACTGACAGACTCTGAGCTATTAAAATGCAAGGGGACTGAGAAGATGGCCCATTCAGTAAAGAGCTTGCAAGTGTGAAAACCTGGGTTTGAGCCCTAGCACCCATGTAAAAAGTGGCACATGCCTGTAATTTCAGCTCTGGGCAGACAGAGATCCCTGGGACTTGCTAGCTAGCCAGCCCAGCCTACTTGGTAAGTTCTCAGATAATGATGGATGGTACCTGAGGAATGACACCCAAGTTTGTCCTATGGCAACCACATGTATGTGCATACATGTGCATATACACCTATACACACATGTCCTCACACCCACTCATGAACACACACACACACACACACACACACACATACAAAAAATGAGGAAAAATCTAGCTGTAGCTTAATTATATTTGAATATTTTGATTCAGCTTAAGTTTGGAAACTAACATCTGGTATTTAATTAGTAACATTTCCTAGTGAGCCAATGTATTACAACTAATGTATTAGTCATGAAATCGTTTGTTTAATGTCACATGCTGCCAGACAGGTAAGCCACAGAGATGTCTTTTCAGCCCCAACTTTCTGCAATTCAGGGTCATGGAGAGAGAGGCCTACTTAGGAGGTCACTATGCTTCCACTGCTCCCCAATGACAGATCCTGCTCTTGTGGGTGACATGTCTGGGGACCATCAGGCAACCCCTCACTCCACCTACCAGACTGTCTTCTGGCACACTGCTTGATGCTTCCTTCCCACCTGTTTTCCTCAGTGACCTCTGTACAGGCCTGTGCTGGAACGCTCTGGCTGTCAACTTGAGACACCTGGGTAGAAGGAGCCTCAATTGGGGAATTTCCTCCATTGGATTGGCCTATGACCATGTCTGTGGGGCATTTTCTTGATCGTTGAGTGATATGAGAGGGCACAGCCAACTGTGTGTGTTGCCACCCCTGGGCAGGTTGTCCTGTATTATGTAAGAAAGCAGGCACAGGGTAGGGGAGTAAGCAGCTTTCCTCCATGGCCTGTGCTCCAGCTCCTGCCTCCAGGTTCCTGGCCTGAGTTCCTACCTTGGGTTCCTGGATGAACTGTGACCTGGAATATGTAAGCTGAATAAACCCTTTCCTCCCCAAGTTGGTTTTGGTCAGAGTGTTCTGTCATAGCAATTGAAAAGAAACTAGAACAGAAATTGGTGCTAGAGAGTGGGGCATTGCTGTGACAGACCTGACCTTGACCTTGGTGTTTCTGGGAGGACTGTGGAAGTGTTTGGAACGTTGGGCTGGAAAAGCCATTGAGTGCTTAGTGTTTGCTGTTGTGGAGCTTGGAACAGTTCTGCTGAAAATTGTAGACAATGGAGGCCTGGCTTGTGAAGCTTCAAAGGGAAGCAGAGATTATCAGGGCTGTTTGTGGAATATTTTGAATTGAGAATCTGTGGTTTCTGGTCAGCTTGGGCTGAAGAATCAGCTGTGATTAAGAAGAGACCAGAACCACTGAAGTGAAACCTTTGCTTTACTGGGACAATTGATGCTGATCAGCTTGGACTGAAAAATCAGCTGTAACAAGAGACCAGCATCACTGTGGAAAAAGCTTCTGGGAGATATTTCCTCAGGGTCAGCACACAGAAGCTATGGTGCAGGCAGGGCCCGAGCCGAGCCTCCATCTCAAGCTGGAATCAGGATTGGGTAATATGTAAGAGTCTCCTGCATGGTTCTGGTGCTGAAGAGAGAGAGAGAGAGAGAGAGAGAGAGAGAGAGAGAGAGAGAGAGAGAACACAGCTGAGAGCTCGGTACCCTGAGAGGCCAGGAAAGGCCACTGGTAAAACAGTCTCAGTTGCAGTGAAGACCCCAGTATTGAAGGGGTCATGGAGAGAATCTGAGGCTTTGCACCATAAAAGGCCAGAGGAGGTCACTGGTAAAGGTACAGCCTCAGTTTCAGTGGAGACCCCAGGTTTTTGGAGATGCAAGGACTATGGGATGACCACCCAGAGCAGCAGCAGGTATGGAATGGAGCCAGCCTGAGTCAGGTGTGCTGTGGATGGCAGAGTCAGAGAAGTGGAACTGCCAAAACCCTTTGGAGTCCAGAAGACTGTGAACGAATCCCAGATGTCCAGCACAGAGCTATTTTGCTGGACTTAGGTTTTGCTTAGGTGTGCCCAATTCTTCCCTTTTGAAATAAGACAGTAATTGTTTTGGATTTTATAGGCGCTCACAATTATGAGACTTTTAAAAGAGACTGTGGACCTTTAAGTGTTTGGATTTTTTAAGAACCACGAGACTTAGGTTGTACTGTCTTATGTTGTTAATATTATATCTCAGGGACAAGAAATGGAAAGGTTTAATAGTGATGTGTTTGTATGTCAAGTTGACAAGGGGTCAATTGTGCTGGATAGATTTGGTTGTCAACTTGACACACCTGGGTAGAGGGAGCCTCAATTGGTGAATTGTCTCCATTAGACTGGCCTGTGACTAGGTCTGTGGGGCATTTTCTTGATTGTTGAGTGGTGTGGGAAGGCCCAGTCAACTGTGGGTGTTGCAACCCTGGGCAGGTTGTTCTATACTGTATAAGAAAGCAGAGTGAGCTTGGATCAGGGGAGCAAGCCAGTGAGCAGTGTTCCTCCATGGCCTGTGTTCCAGCTCCTGCCCCCAGGTTCCTGCCCCGAGTTCCTAATTTGGGCTCCCTTGGTGAACTGTGGCCCAGGAAATGTAAGCCTAATAAGCCCTTTCCTCCCCAAGCTGGTATTGGTCAGAGTGTTTTGTCACAGCAATAAAAAAAAAAAAAAAAAAAGAACAAGGCTCTTCCTGGTTTTCTCTCAGGTCTGTGAGAAAGTTGTACATTGGCCACAGTGGCCACATTCTATTCCTCAGGCTGGAACCTCTCTGAGCTGACTCTGCATGATGGCTGCAGTCAAGTCTACATTGCTGAAAGTCATCCACAAGCTGATACCCAGACAGGAAGGAGAGAGAAATGGCCTCTTTCAGGAGGGATGGTCCTTGACTCTCCCATGTCTGTCCCAGCTTGGACCTCAGCACACCTTGGTTCAGATCACCTGTGATTTGCAAACTGCCTGCCCTTTGTCGCCACAGTCATGTCTCTGTCACTGACTCTTCTCTTACAACCACATCCCAGGTTGGCCAGTCACACCCAGAGTTCCTGGAGACACGAAGGGTCTTAACCATACACACATGAACACTCAGGAAAGAAGGTAGAGAGACATTGCTTCTCCCTGTGTCCATCCCAACTTGCTTGTCATGGTTGTAAGAAAACATTAGTGTCTGGGAGAACACTTCTAGAGTGATTGCTACAGGGTCAGGTCACAAAATTTCCCATGTCAGCTCCATACCCTAAGTGTCTAGCCAGTGAAAACACTAAAATGTGTGATAAGGCGTGGATTTGGTCAAAACACCTTATACGCATGTATAAAACTCTACATAAAAATTTTCTTTAAGTTAAAAAAAGGAAAGGATCTAATTCACAGTCTCTGAGAGTTGAGGCTAAGGCACTGAGCCAAGAAGAAATGCCAAGCGAGAGGATATCCCTATTCCTGGAGGAACCCCAGCTGGCGACTGCAGAGGGCCCCTCAGGGTGGCAAAGGGGCCTTTCCATCCCTTCTATGGCAAGTTGTCTCCAACTCAGAAATCCAGAGAGAGCTCTCTGGATGGTGACCTGAGGTGCTCCCTTGATGGGGAAATGGCTGGGGAAAGTATCTATAATGGTCCTCTTTCTGCTTTGGCCAGAGAGCACTTACAGTGCTAATGTCTCAGGCAAGAGTCGTTGGAGAACATCACACTTACATGATTAAGAGGAGGGTTTCAAAACGCGACATTCCATGGATAAGCAGCAAAAGTACTCTGTAATCCAGACTCAACTGCAGCACAAAGTTGTTAACCCTTTATCTTTTGCTTTGTTTTTCCATTAACATGTAATTTAATACAATTCTAACCTCCTTTCCATTAAAAGCAGGTCCATTACTGCTCCACTCACATCTTATTTCAGCCTGATGTTCAGCTGAGCAGCAGTATTATGAATGTGGTCACATCAAAGAACAGTACGAGAGAAAAATTCAATGAAATAATTAAATTTGATTATGTATCATGTCTGCATCTCAGTCTCATTTTCACCAGGGTAAGGATGTGAATTTCCTCAAGTAGGTGTAGAGACTCACATCATCTCTTACAAACCTCACAGTAACAACAAACAAGATAGTAGGGGCTGTGGGTAGCAGGGTTACTGAAAAGCATCCCAAGGACATGTGCTCTAGGTTTTTACAAGTCTGCACAATAAAGCCTTAAGGGCTGCATAGTTCTCTTTGTGAAGGCAGGGTAACAAGCATAGAATGTGCAGAGCATCTTAGTTTCTTAATCTCTAGCTATTCACAACATTATTTTGTTATTAAGAGAAAACAGCAATTATGGTTGTCATTCAATAACATACACCTGTCTCTGCATATTCAAAACAGAATGTAAATGCACCTTTTACAGTAGATTTGTGAGACTGGATTTTTCCATTCTAAAACGTCTGCTGTGAGGTTTACAAACATCACTAACATTTCTAGTATGCACTGTGCGCTGGACATCTGCCATGGGCTTCACTAGGATGTCTCCCTGACTTCCTTCAGGGAACAGGGCTGACACTGTCATGGCTGAGGGAGCAAGGGCTGAAGGGCAGGCAGGACCATCGTCAATAAACTAGTTAAACTTCCAACGTTTCTTCAGAATTTCAACTGAACTTGAAATTGTGAGGTGGCCCTGGCTGGTCACTGCTAACACACTGTCCCTCTCTCTCTGCCACTTCTC